TTTAGTAGAGACGGGGTTTCACCGTGTTGACCAGGATGGTCTCGATCTCTTGACCTCGTGATCCACCCGCCTTGGCCTCCCAAAGTGCTGGGATTACAGGCTTGAGCCACCGCGCTCGGCCCCTGAAGCCTCTTAATAAGGGTATTAATCCCCTTCATGAGGGATGTTCTCTCATGACTTAATCACCTGCTAAAGACTCCACCTCTTAATACTGTCACATCAGTGAAGAATTCAGTGTATGAATTGGGTGGGAGGGTGCACATTCAGACCATAGCATCTAGTCATTCTGGTTCTAATAAAATTTATTACACCTGAGGCATGACAAATAGCATTACTAGATGGGACTTGAACATCGATAAGCTGCTTCAGTGATACTGTTAGTGTTTTAGGCTTGTATATAAAAAGTGGTAAATATGCCAGTGGTGTGAGATTTCAGTTTTTGTTTTTTTTTTTAGGCGAGTTTCACTCTTGTTGCCCAGGCTGGCGTGCAGTGACACAATTTCGGCTGACTGCAACCTCCGCCTCCCAGGTTCAAGCAATTCTCCTGCCTCAGCCTCCTGAGTAGCTGGGATTACAGGCATGCGCCACCACGCCTGGCTAATTTTGTATTTTTAGTAGAGGTGGGGTTCCTCCATGTTGGTCAGGCTGGTCTTGAACTCCTGACCTCAGGTGATCCGTCCACCTTGGCCTCCCAAAGTACTGGGATTACAGGCATAAGCCACCGAGCCTGGCCATTTCAAGATTTTTTTTTTTAACGAAAAAGTTTATACTTACAGAAAACCTAGGACTAGTACATTGATACCTATGTGTTTACCACCTTGATGTAAAAGATATGCTATTTGCTTTATCTGTATTTCATTGCTAGGAAGCATCTGAAAGCAGTCAACATAATACTTCATTCTGAAATACTTAAGTATGTGTTTCAAAAATATACTTTGCTGTATAATGGGCACTATAGCACTTAGGAACATTGACAAGTATTTCCTGTTACTGAATATCCAGTTCATATTGAAGTTTTCCTTGGGGAGAACTCTGGGTCCAGGGTCAGTCCTGGTAGTGGTGTAGTTTAGTTGTCATTAGGGTCCAAACAATTGTGAGAAATGTTGAGGAAATGCATGTGGTTACGGCTCTCAGGTTTCTGTAAAGCTCTTTGCCCAGATAAAAGTACCTGTTTGCAGCTCCTGGATAGAAGATGGGGCTAGGTTGATTCTGATCAGTATTCGTGCCTGCACCAGGCTCTCCTCTTCATCAGTGGAAGAGCAGTTTGGAACTAAAGAGAATGCACATTGGACAGCAGCAGAGTGGCGGCAGATCTGCTTGAATCCATCAGACATGGAGCAGGTTCAAACCTGAGCCGTGTGTGCCTCCCTTCCGTTGTGTGGCACTTAGTGTGTACTTACTGGCAAAAGTTTATTGAGCCCCCATCTTGAGAAGCGTCAATGTGGAGCCACAAGGAAAAAGAATACCTGAAATTACAGAATTCGAGGAGAGGGCCCTATGAGATGGATGAGGAAAACAGCCTAGGAGACAACTGGGAATTTTGAAAGAACCATAAGGCAAAGCTGTCAGACAACTGCCTTTGAGATGGGCACATTCCAAACCTGAACCGTCCAGTGTGCTAGCCACTGGCTGCACGGAGCTTCTGCATATGGGAGGCTAGTATGAGGATTTTAAGTTCAAATTTTATTTATTTTTGAGACAGTCTCCCTCTGTCACCCAGACTGGTGCAGTGGCACAATCCTGGCTCACTCCAACCTCCGCCTCCCGGGCTCAAGTGATTCTCCTGCCTTAGCCTCCAGAATAGCTTGGATTACAGGTGCCTACCACCACACCCAGCTAATTTTTGTATTTTTTGGTAGAGATGGGGTTTCACCATGTTGACCAGGTTGGTCTTTAACTTCTCACCTCAGGTGATCCTCCTGCCTCAACATCCCAAAGTGCTGGGATTATAGGTGTGACCCACTATGCCTGGCCATAAGTTTAACATTTTCATTGTCACATATGGTGGTGGCTAATGTATTGGACAGTGCAGCTCTTAGCTACCAGCAATGTTCTGCAGGCCACTGAGATCCAAGAGAATTTCAGCAAGATGAACAATGGTCGCGAGAGCAGCAGTAGTATCAATCAAACGTTTATCTCCCAAATCTGAGATCTAAAGATGCATGTCATTTTCACTGAGTCCTGTATTTGTGTACCCTAAATTCTGTTTTTAGAAGTCTGCCTCTTTGGCGTAGGCAGCTCCAGAGGAGTCCCACAACAACGTCCCCCTGAGGCGGCAGTGGCGCCTGCGGGGACCACTAGCAGCCATGGGCTTGGGGAAAGTGGGGACCAAGGCCCAGCTTCTGTGTCCTGTCAGAGAAAGGCGAGCAGCCCCTCAGGGAAGGATCAGCCTCCATGCGAGGCCTCCTGACGTCCCCAGGCAGCAGCCCCAGGCCGTAAAATCCCTGTCTCCAATTCAGGAAGAAGAGTCTGAGATTCCTATGCCTAGAAAAAGTAACAACTGGGTGGGGCACGGTGGCTCACATCTGTAATCCCAGCACTTCGGGAGGCCGAGGTGGGTGGATCACGAGGTCAGGAGTTCAAGACCAGCCTGACCAACAAGGTGAAACCCCATCTCTACTAAAAATACAAAAAAAAAGCTGGGTGTGGTGGCATGTGCCTATAATCCTAAGTACTTGGGAAGCTGAGGCAGGAGAATCGCTTGAACCCAGGAGACAGAGGTTGCAGTGAGCTGAGATTGCGCCACTGCACTCCAGCCTGGGTGACAGAGTGTGACTCTGTCTCAAAAAAAAAAAAGAGGAATACAGTTCTGCCCTCCCTCAGGAAGTTTCCATTGCTGCATCTAGACCTAGGCTGGGCTGGCGCAGTAGAAGCAGGACACCTATTTCTTGTCATGGTAATACAGAGAACACCTGAGGCTCTCAGGGCAAGACCAGTTCATTGCAGCTCATCTGCAAGGCAGAACCAAATACAGACCAGCTCAGTGATGACATTGGAGAAGAGCATCAGTCTCCAGGTGGCATTAGTGAGGATGAAGAAGAGACATTGATCAGTGAAGAGGAGACATTCAAAGATGACCCAAGAGATGAGACCTACAAACCCCTCTTAGAAAGGGAAACCCCAAAGCCATGTGAAAATCAGGGAAAGTGAAAGGGGAGAAAGAGAAGAAGGAAATTAAAGTGGAAGTAGAGGTAGAGGTGAACAAAGAGAATGAAATTAGGGAGGATGGGGAACCTCTGAGGAAGAGAGGAAGAAGATGGAAAGATGGCATTTACCCAAAAGAAAACCTCCAATGTGTCCATTGTGAGCTGGAGGATGTGGAACTGTCCTTGCCCATCCTGGATATTGGCAGCACCGCATTAAATAGCAGCATTTGTTGAAGAAGAAATATGTATGTCTCCATCCCTCCTGTGGATACTGCAGGCTCCAGAAGCAACTTCCATGACATGCCAAACATCATACAGATCAAAGGGATTTATCTGTGAATACTGTGCTGAGACCTTCAAGCGGTCCCACAATCTGGCAGTACACTAGATGATTCACATTGGCGAGAGGCCATTATAATGTGAGATCTGTAGATTTACTTCTTAACAAAAGGCATGTCTTAATTGGCACATGAAGAAGCATGAGGCTGAGCGCATGGCTCATGCCTGTAATCCCAGCACTTTGGGAGGCCAAGGCAGGTGGATCACCTGAGGTCAGGAGTTTGAGACCAGCCTGGCTAACATGGTGAAACCCCATCTAACATGGTGAAACCCTGTCTCTACAAAAAATACAAAATTAGCTGAGTGTGGGGGCAGGCACCTGCAGTCCAGCTACTTGGGAGGCTGAGGCAGGAGATTCACTTGAACCCAGGAGGTGGAGGTTGCAGTGAGCCAAGGGAGGCCACACCAGCCTGGGCAGCAAGAACAAAAATCTGTCCTCCCCCCCCAAAAAAAAATAGCATGATGTAGAGTCTTTCTACCAGTTTTCCTGCAACATCTATGGCAAAAGATTTGAGAAGGACAGCGTAGTGACACATAAAGCAAAAAGCCACCCTGAGGTGCTGACTGAAGAAGCTCTGGCTGCCAACACAAGCACCCTCATCATCAGCACAGAGATTTTGGGCACTAACCCAGAGTCCTTGACACGGCCTTCAGATGGTCAGGGTTTTCCTTTTCTTCCTGAGCCCTTGGGAAACTCAACCTCTGAAGGATGCCTACCACTAGAAGCTGAAAGGATGTCAGGGTCATACTGCAGTGGGATGGGACAGGTGAGCCGGGGGAAAAGCTTTGCAGGAAACAGCAGCAGTGAGGGCACCGAAGGGCTGCTCATGAACTCGGATGCTATCACAGAGGTTCTGATTGAAGATTCGGACTACCAGAACTTAGTGAAAGATAAGGTCTACCAGACCTTAGTGGAAGGGAAGACTTGGGGCACTGGGACAGCTCAGACTTTGTATTTAAAAGTAAAAAGAACCAAAAAATTTTTAAAGCATTTAAAATCTAGTAGCCAGATGCAGTGGCTCACGCCTGTAATCCCAGCAATTTGGGAGGCCAAGGTGGGCGGATCACCTGAGATCAGGAGTTCAAGACCAGGCTGACCAAAGTGGAGAAACCCCGTCTCTTTTTTTTTTTT